GCTATAGTCTAGCTGACAAGGGGCTGATCAGTCAAAGGTTGGACTCAATGATCTTGGAGGTCTTTTCCAACCTAAATGATTCTGAGATTCTGTGATCATATGCATTTACTGAAGAGTTTACATGGCAGGACAATAAAACAATCACTGTAAGTCATCCTCTCCTACTAAGACATGCATTTAAAAACACTCTGGTCTGTGAAACCACATTTTCTGAGATGAGAACATACAGAAAAGGAGTCACATGAGCCCAAGCAGCCTAAACAGCAACAGAACAACCCCCTGTAAGCACATGGTGCTCACTGCTTCGTCAGGGAGGGAGACAACTTGCCCTCCTGGTATCTCTTCTCCAAAATTAGCATCATTAGCACAGTATTCACACTTTCTCTTTCCCAGCCCACAGGAGGTTTCACTGAAGTGCTGCAGGCACGGTATTTGCCCTGCCACAGCTGAAAGAGCCAGGGGCAAACATACCTTATCCATTCCAACCAGGGGCTCAGGCCATTTCCCCCACCCAGGGCACAACCTGCAGCTGCACATGGAGCTGCCTCAACAGACATGTTCCTCAACAGACAATATAACAACCTCTTATCATAACTATGCTCTAATCCAAATTCCAGTAATCTACACAACAAAAAATGCACACTTATCTTTTAATATGCATAAAGGTATGCTTAAAGTTTTTAAGACTTGTTTGTTCTAATATCTGCACCATAACTAGAAAGCATCTGCACTGTGAGATAGCAGCAATTACTCCAATCTAACCTCACTTTGCTTGCACACAGCACAAGGTTATCACTTCAGCAAAGGATTTTACAGCATAATACCCACACAGTGAAAAACCTTCAGAGAAATAGAGCTGGGGGGGCAAGAAACACTCCCCAGGTAGAATGGCTATTACCCTTAATGCATTCGTAATTTGGTTTAATATAAAATCTGGAGATTTCTTTTTGCAAAATTTATTTTTATTCAGCTTTTACAGAGAGCTACATTCTTTTTCTGCGCCCCGTATCTGCATCAGCAATCATTATAGTAATATCTGCTTAACATGCCCTTGCTCATCAGCCTAACTTGAAACATGGTCTGACTTGGCAGCATGATGAGGAGCTCGTCCCTGTGCTTTCCATCATGTTTAGGGGTATTTGCTGTTGGACTGCATTTGCATACATTAGATAATCACAGGTGTCCCTACCGCTAAGACACCCATAAAACATTCTTTTAAGAACAGGATGAATCAACTCAACCTAAAAAGGAGTCTCAGCATTCTTAAATAATCATGGCATCTTCATTTTGAAAAAAAACCCAACTTTTAAGCATCCACGTCTTGAATATTATAAAGACTTGTAGGAGGAATACTCTATAGCCCCAACAGAGCACATGTTTTATTTAAATTAGCATTACACCTAAGAGCTTTAGAACATATTTTCTTCTCAGGCAGTCCTTATTACTTTGTGACTGTTTCATATCACCCCTAAATAACATTGTCACCAGCTAAATGAATAGAGTGTGCTATACTTACAGATGATTTACACAGAACTAAAACATGTATCAGGAGGCATATTTCTACCCTGAGTCTCTAGACACAGTTCCCTTTGGCATCAAAGGAACTGCCCTGCCTTTCTGCCCTGAATTTCTAACAAGATAATTTACATATGCACACATTCCTGAGCTCTGGCATGCACAACTTTGCACAAAGTTGGAAACCTCCATCTGGGAAATGCACACTGTGTGCCTCACCCTGTTCTGAACATCCTCTAAAGCCACTGCTGGGATCACTTGGCACAGCTCACAATAGGAACTCCTCTGCTTCTGGGAGGAGAGGGGGAAAACAGACAGCAAGAATAATGTCCAGGCTTATTCAACAATCACATGGCATGTATTGGAGCAGTTAGAGCTGTAGGGACTTACAGACCCACCTATATGAACAAAAGAACCCTTTCCCCTATTGAGGAGGTCAAGCAGTGAAGAGCCGGGTACTGAATACCCATCATGTCTATAAAGTGCTTCTGTCTTCCCACTGGTCCTTTATATGTTACCCTAAGGAAGTCCCAAGGACTTCTCCAAAAATTTTGCAGATAGTAATGTACAAAGCAACAACCACAGAAGAAAATATACCACGTGAAGAAAGCAGGACCCTGAAATAAAATAATTCTATCAGTAAAGCTGACAATCAGGTAAGGATAAATCAAACTGTGGTGTGTTGGATACTAGGGCAGTGATGGTAGCAGAGGAAGTGTCAGCTGAAGAACTGATAACTAGAGGTATAACACCTGCAACATCACTCCTCTGATTTAGCTGCTCAGTGCCCTGGATAATACATTCTACATGCTAACAGAGGTATTTTTTAAATGCAATTTCAAACCTATCAATAAAAAAATTGAAATATATTTTTCTACCTGCTTTGCACAGTTCAGACCTTGTTTCAGATTTGAAGGAATCCTGGAGAAAACACATAATCAGTAAGTAGTGAATGAACCCCAAAGTAACAACAAAGGTGCAGAGAGAAAAGGCCCTCAAACCCTCCACACGCCTCCTCCGGCAAACTTGGCTGCCGTGATACATCTCAATCTCACACTGTAGCAAAGTGCACATCCTGGTAACTCCCACAGCCTCCCACATTCTGTGTGTCAAGCCCTGATTCATCAAACCACTGATGGAGAAGAGCAGCTGTGCAGCTTGGGGCCAGTCTGTGGGGCCAGCCCGTGTTGCTGGTCACCTGGCCACCACATGCATGCCCCAGGGATGCTCTGCCATGGGACAGCAGGACAGACACCTGTAACCCCTCAGGAGATGAGGAATACTGGTTTGGGTCTCTCCCTCTCCTGTGTGGCCATGATTTTCATAAATTTTCAACGTCTCACTTGTCAGATTGTATTGAAACTAGTCAGAGCTTGAATGCCAGAGGAATCTGTCAAGCAGCATGATCACTTAAGGGCTCATAAGCAAACACAAGGATTTCTCCATCTTGCCACACTGCAACCACCTCAAGGAGACTCAAGGGAGAGAAACAGAAGCTTCTACTCAATCAGGTGTGAGGAGTCCTGTGGATAAACCTCAGGACTGGCTCAGAAACAAGTATGTGGCTGCTTGTGCTAAGCAAAGCAAGGAGAAAGCAGTGCTTCTGCAAAGAGGTGGTTACACAAGAAAATTTGCCATCTTGTAAAATTATCCTTTCCTCAGCCACAAGGTTTTAGGCATTATATCCCCCACTGGGCAGTGCTAAAACACATTCACAACAGTCAGGCGTACGTGACACTGATCACTGCTGCCAGTATATTAAGGGTATATTAAGATTATTATATTCTCACCCTGCTTTTTTTATTATTTCCTAAGCATCTGCTATTTGCCACTGCTGGAGACAGGATACCAGGCTGTCAGTAATTGTTAATGTCAAGGAAACAAATGGACTGTTCAAGACAAAACTGTGAAAAAGCAAAGGTGGCAAAAAGAGACAGAGAAAGGAGTAATCAAGGTGGAATCATATAATCCCAGAGATAAGGACAAGGGGTGCTAAATGAATAAGAAATACCAGGGTGAGCACTGAGGGGATGGGAAATAGAAAGCAACACCCCAGTGATCAGAAGATGAAAGGTTTTACTCTGTATTCCTGCTGGAAAGGAAGTACCTCAAGGGCAGAACAATGGAAAAACATGATCAGGCTAAGGAAAAGACACAGATGAGGCGAGGAGATAGACAGGAGGGTTTTGGATGGACTGAAAATATTTGTCCAGTTGTAAGCAGTCAAGATGGACATGAGACCCAAAGCAACATCACAGAGCAATTGCTGGAGGACTGCACTCCTAAAGAATGAAAAGAAAGTCATTAAATTAGACACCAGCAGAAAACCCAGAGCAGACAAAAAGTGTGGGTAAACAAGAGTGCTCAAAAACCAAATTTGTAATTTGCTTTATCTTTGTCATGGTCGATTTTATGAATACCTCAATAGCAACATAAGCCTGTCCATAAAGTCTCTCCTGGAAAACCAATGGCCACCTGGAAGCTGAAAGCAATAGAAATCATTGTGACTGCAGGGACCCCTGTATCTGCATGTGATGGGATCCTCAATCAGCCTTTTGAATAATCCCGAAATTATTTTTTTCATATATTTAATAAAGTGTAGGGGGTGAAGGGGGGCAGCAGCTGTGCCAGCACTGCAGGCTTGTTTTTTGCAAACAGCTCAGTGACACACCACACGCTGACTGTAAGAATACCACGACATGGAATTACCACAGAACACTTTAAAAGTCACTGATAATTGACAAGATGTAATTTTAATGAGGAACCATCAGTGAATGGAAGTGCTTTTAACTGGGCCTACAGAGACAAGTTTCACAGCCCAATGCAACTCAGAACTGGCTTAAGTGATAAGTATTGCCAAACTTAGAGGAGAGCAGAGTCAAACAACTCAATCTCCTTCATATGCCCAGCCTTATCAGAGATCAGACACTAATATGGAAAAACACAAGTCTACTTGTTTAGCATCAAAGAATGCAACGGCAAATGATCTGCTCCACTTACAGAAGGGAGAAGTGTATGTTGAAAGTTGGAGAATTAAAAATATATATGGGAGCCAGGGAGATAAATGGAACACAAGGTCTCAGGGCCATGATCTGATGAAAAGCCTAGATGATGGAAGAGAGATAAGGTTACAAAGGTGGTGTTTCTATGTATGGTGTTAATGAAAGGATGAGTAAAATGTGGGATTCTGCTGTCCCTGAATAGCCACCTCTAATGTCCAGCTTAAAAAGATGCTGAAAAACAGAGAGAAATGCATAGAATTTAAGGGTCTGAAAACAGATTGTGTGAAAGAGTTTAAATTATATGATCACTTCAGGAAAAAGAAGGCTAATCAATGATTTGTCCACATCATGGGAAATGATTTCCATTACTAGCAGGCTTCTTAATTAAGTAGACAAAGGATGAAGATGTTTCAACATATGGAACAAAGAAATAAACTCAGATTGGATTTATTATTTTATAAATCACCAGAAATAATTACTCACCAAAACAACTACCCTCAGGACACCTCTGAGTTCCAGTTATCACCACTCTTTAAATAAGTCTGAACATTCTTCTGAAAGGAAAGGAGAAGTTGCTGGGTGAAACTTTCTACAGCCTGCGTCATCAGGAGGTCAAACAACATGATCCCAAGAATCATTCATTCATTATGAACCAAAGACTACTAGACAATATTTGCCATATTGACACTACAACACTCAGACTTACTTGCTTACACGAGGTTTTGTATTTGCCCATAGTTGTAGAAAACAGAGAATATGATGATTAACTTTTAAAAATAGGCAAGTTATCAAGACAAGATCTCTTTGGTACAGATAAATTCACATTTATTCCAACATTCAGCTATGATTTTATTGTCATAAACCAAGCACATAGTACTGGGTACCATAAAATCCAAAACTACAGGCTTTTTCAAAGTGAGCGTATATAAAATTTAAACCATAACTGTAAGAGTTTCAGTAAATCTACAATAGCCCCCATCAGAAACATTAAGATTACAGCCTTTCAGATAACAATGTCCACAATAACTGTGTGCAAAACACTATATACATTAAAAAGTGGATAATTAATATGTTTCTGCATTTTATTATTTTTTCTTTTACAAGCAATGGCTGTTATAAAATCATACATGTTTGCCCAGAGCTTCCTCAATGTCGCATATGCTGAAAGAATAGAGCTGGACATTCGTGGTCAAATGCTGCAGCTCTTGGCATGAAAACACGCTCCTGAATTTCACATTTTGTCTGAAACAAGCCTGCTGGGTAAATCCCAAATATAAAATTTTTTTTATGGGACAAATCTCTCACTAATTGCCTTCTCTCTGCAGCAGTAACTCCCTGAATACAGTCAAGGTGTTGGCAAGTGGGCAGGAGCAGGAGATCCACAGAACCCACTGGCACAAACACATAACATTCACATCAGTCTCTAAACTGACACAGATTTTCCCACTTTGGTTTCACCATGAAGCCTGGAACTTACAAGTCTGGAGGATATTATTGCTCTTTAATGGGGCAGGGGAGGAAAGCCTGACTTGTAGTACCAGTCAAAGAGATTGAATATAGAAGTAGCAATATCAGGTCCCAGTGAGCAGAAGCAGAAGGGTATCTGCTACTGGGATGCTCAGTGGCAAACAGCAGCGCAGGCTTCACAGCCCCGCTCGATAACATGGATGGACAAAGCAATTCAAGTTCAGTAAGGCAGAGTCAAACCTGGCAGAGTCAGATCCTGCACTAAACCCCTCAGAGGATCCTGGAGCAGCCGAGGTGGAGCTGGCAGTTGGCTGAATGTGGACTGAAACCAGCCTGTGGTGGGGTCCAGCTCATCTAGTGCTGCTGCCACCACCCCCACACCTGATCTCAAGCCAGTTCCACAGGATCCATCTGTGGGACTGGAGAAGGCTGGGTATCTCTAGTCTGCATTTCCTCTCATCTTGCTGCCGACTCCTACAATAAGCAGGAGTAATGGTTCTCTCAAAGTGCCTTTTTGTCTGCTGTGAAGAAAACCTAAACATGAAGCTCCAATCTGAATGCTTGCAGAGTCAGATTAACACCTCTCTGTCTGTCAGTGCCAGGTAATTACATCTGTAATGACCAGTGAGATCTTCCATAATGTCACCACCTAAGGAATAAAGCTGGGACAGAGCACAGAGACCAACTTTGCCACCACTTGAGTTGGAATCAAAATTCACTACTTGCTACCCAACATCTGTGGGGAAAAAAATAAAAAATCAAAATACAGAAACTGTTCTAAAAGGAAGCAGATTACTGGAACCTGTCCTGCTGCTCAGGACACTGAACTGATGATCAATATGTGTCCTGGCTGGAGATAAAACCAGCTGAATTAGCTCCTCTACAACCCAAATTCATGGACTGTGGGCCAAGAGTGGAAAAATCTTGGGTGAGAGTGTGGCAAACTGCATCATGTCCACTGCTACCCAGCTCACCAGTGAAGTGCAGTTTTGGTGTGCAACAACCTCCCACCTCTATCTGTCCTTTTATCTATTGTGCAGAAACCATAGAATTCATACAATATTTATAGCATGGAAGGAGTGTTTCAGTGATGGCAGAGGTGATGTCTTTTCTCTAATGTTTGTTGACTTATGGCTAAAATGTGCAATTCAACAGCTGAGGAACGTATCATTTCTATTCATGCTGCACTGCTCAGAAGAGAACACATTACAGTCCATGTCAGCTAAACAAAGGTAGCCAGATCCTTGGACACATGCCACTGCAGCTATGTAGTAAAATTATGGTGCCTTGAACATTTTATGGTCTCCAATGATAACAGCGTTTGCACTGCGCCGATGGTTCAAATTAATCTGATTCTCAAAAGTTACAGCGTTTAATTAGGATTGGTAATAAAAATTATAGCATTGAAAAAGTATTATGACAGCATCAGTCCTGAAACAGGGGTGGGGGGAATCAGTCAGGGTTAAAAAAAAACAATAAATTAAGACTGACTAACAACAAAAGAAAATAACCTTCTGGAACAATAAACAACAGATAGCAGCTGCCTCTTACCTTTGGGGTGGAAAGTATTTTTGTACCTCAAAATATTTCTTTGATGTGGGCTAAAACTCTCTCTACAATACAGTCCCTTTCTGTGAATTTTCTAAGCAACTAAATCCTAGCACCATTTTTACTTTTATTGCCTTTCAGACTGGCAAGAGTAATATAATGATTCATCATTAAAGTACTCTTTAAGCAGCTTTGTTCCTATTTGTTGCTATATATATTAAATAGAAATCGGTCTTTGAATTCACCTCTAAAGTCAGACTCAATTTTTTATCTAACAAGAGTGGTATCTCCAGTCATCATCTGAATGCAGCAAAGTGAGAAAACCTTTTGCATAATATAAATATCTGCATTCACTAAGAGGAGGCTGATGCCACCACCTACTGTGAATGCATTTTATAAGTGGTACAAAGCCAGAGAGATTTCAAATGCAGTAGCACAGTCTCTTGTAGATACTCCAGGCACTGTCAGAAAGGCACAGTTTCATCTCCCATTCAACAGTTTCCGGACCAGAGGCTTGGATCACCTGTAGCTGGTTTACAAGCAGTATCCAAACCATAAAAATGCAATGGTTGCTGAAAGAGTGCAAGCAGCTAAGGACTGGCCTACGTTTACCTCCCCACAGAAACCAGGGAAAATAGTTCTTGAAGATTCAATCTACTTCCTTTGCCCCTGTCTGTTATCCATTCCCTGCTCCACCTGAGCAGCATGTGACTGGCCAGCCATTCCAGCATGGTTTGCCGGGCATTTGTCTCCAAAAAGGCAAACCCTACAGAGATCTCATCACCACTGCTACCACTGCACCCATAAGAATACAGAGCTCAGCCCCATTTTGCAGCAGGGCACACCAGGGAGTCCCTGCCCTCAACTCTACAGGGTGGACAGGATGGGACTGTCAGGCAGAGGAAGGTTATCAGTACAGTGTGTGTGACATGGAATGCTGACCAGTTATTATTGTAACAAATTTCAGCTTTTTAAATGACCATTATTAACTCTAGCAAATAGCTCTCAACTTCCACATAATTTGAGTTTAATGCAAAACTTTATTACTGACCAGAGAAGCTGCTCAGAAATAATCAGTAGTATGTACTGATTTGGTTTCCTGAGTGGATACGAGTATGGCTGTCAGGAACATATTCCCATCCACTCCTTCAGAACACATCACATGGGAATACGCCCCAACATTTTGCTGTTTTAGTAAAAGGACCTTTTAAAAAAAACACACTTGCTGGAATAGAGGCACAAAGACCACCAAAATAGTTGCCACCCAGCAATCGCCAAATTAATTTTGAATTTTGAAATCTTGTTCATGAGAAGCATTCACTTTAACCAACCAGTTCTAATCACCATTCTGCCTTTGTGCAAATAGCAGTAAATGGGATGACTAATATATATTTTTTCTAGTGTTTCCTGCACAGACAATGGTATTACTTAGTGCTCACCAGCTTTTATAAATGCTCTTCTAGAAAAAAGTCATGCAGATCACCTTACAACCAATACTACACTGAGATGCCACTGAATGTTCATACATTTGTGTTTTCACCTCTCTGAGTGAAGCCAGGAGGTTTTTCTCCTCTTCATGGCAGAAATTAGTGTTGCTAGGGAGTATTGCTGCCCAAATCTACCTAGTATGTGAGCAAGAAGGGATCCTCTTCCTCAGGACAGAGAGGAGCAGCTACTTCCCAGGTGTCATCACAGCCTCCATCCCCAGCAGGGGTTTTAGCTTCTTTATTCATACACAGCAGTGAACCAACCAGACCCACTCCTGCTCCACCAGCTCCTACACAGAGATCTTGCAGAGAAGAAGAGGTCTTCTCTACAGGATCCCAGAGGAGGGTGCACAAGTGTCCTGTTCTTGTAAAGAAGGAAGCTCGCTCTTGTCTGTAACTTGGGCCCAAAATAGAGAGAAAAGGGGGATTTTACCTTTCCCTATGAGATATGTCAGTGCTGAGTCAAACATAGCACAGCAGCCCTGGGGAAGCTGAGGAAGCAATTGCAAATGCTCTGACCAAACTGCTCAGGTGGCAACACTTTCCAGTTGTTACCTGAGCAAAGAAAACAAAAGTGACTAAAAAGATTTGCAGTGCCGATGACAGTGCTGCTCTTTTTCCTCAAGAGTGCAGTTATGAAAGACACATTTGTTCTGCCAGGATGCCACAGAAACACTTCTGAAACTGTTACACAGCAATGGCACTGTTGGCTGTGCTGTCTTAATAGATCTGCAATGCCAGAAACACACACAAACCTCTCTCCATGTGATGCAGGTACATAATCCAGGCAGCACCTGCCTATTCTGAGCAGCAAAATTTCCTTGGCAGAGTCTGCACTCAGGAGAACACACAAACATACATATGTGGGTCAATCAGGACAACAAAATCAAATAGGTATTCAATACTCAACACCTGCTTTTCCAGGGAAACGAAAAACTTTCCTTTCAGCTTAATCTTTACAGAATAAAGCTCCCACCAGAGGTCTCAAGACAAACCAAAAAAAAAAGCATGCCCTGACAGCGAGAATGGAACAGTATTACTGCTGCCGATTTTGTTAGGGATTTCTCAAGAAGGCAACTTCCTAAACAAGCCAAAGGAAATTTGATGGCATTGGTAGTTTTTCTCTCCCAGGTATTGCTGTAAAAAAATCCTCAAGCAAAGATTCCAGGTGGCAAAGTACTTAGCAGAGTACTAAACTCCTCTCCAAAAAGGTGGAACAGCAAAACACAAAAACCAGACACAGGATGCTTCCAAAATAATTTTCCTCCTCTACTTCCAAAAACCAAGATCAACCTTTAGAACCTCAACATTCCCTCTTTCTCAGAGAAGAGCACCTTTTTTCTTCCTCTTAGTGTAATTTCACTCCTCAAAAAAGCCACCTCCCTGTCAGCAACATTTTCTGTGTAGGTGCCCTCTGTCCTCCCCACGTCCACAGGAGCAGAATGAAAGGACCTGTAGAGTGCAGTGTGTCCCAGTTTCCAAACCGAAGCATAACCCATCACACTGCAGCCAACCCCTTTGAAAGGTCATAAGCCAGGAAGAAGTAAAAGCTCCCAGGTGCATTCCAGAGAGATCAAGGCAAGTTTGTTTTTCAATTAAGTGCAACAACTTTATTGCCAGTCATGAAAGGTATCGCTCAGGTACCTTTTGCTTTCTCCTCCCTGCTGCACATGCAGGAACCACACATACATTTTTCTGCCTGGCGTTATAGACTTCAAATTAAACCCTGTTTTAATTTTTTAAAATTTTATAGCCCAGAATGAGGAGAGGACTGTATCCCCCTGGCAAAGATCATGGCATGTTGCACAGGCAGCAGCACCTACCTCCGTGAGCCGACAGAGCCAGCAAGTCCACATAATTCCTCTTGGATGGAGACATTTACCCCAGCTCAGAAAGCCGGGGCTCTCCTGCCGTGCCTGGAGCTTCGGACACACCAAGAAAGCATCTTCTGCGAGCAGCGCGGCTCCTCTCACACCCCGAACTGCAGCAGCGGCAGCCTGAGAGAGCAGCAGCAGTTGAATTGCTGCACATGTATCTCTGCAGATTATTTCCTGCTCGAACACTTGGCGTAAAGGCAGATGCTCTTAACCCTCTGGAGGCCTATGCCTTTGTCCCCCCTCGGCAGGAGGAAGCTAGCAACTCCAAATATTCTGCGGTGAGGCCAGAGAGGAACGACTGGAGACACACAGGGCATCTTCCGAGAAGTAGTCCCAACCTCGTGTGAGTTGCAGTCACTTCGCGCTCAGGGAGCCAGGCATTCCCACGGCAGCCCACAGCATCCCCGGCCAGGCAGCGCACGGTTCCCGCTGCATCACCCGCTGCGGATCCCCGGGCTCCGGCAGAGCGCTGCCCTTGGCTCACACGGGAGCCCCTGCGAGGGCCCGCAGGACGGGGTGTCCAGCGTGCTGAACCTGCGGCTGGAGGCCAGGGCCACGCAGGTGAGGGACACGAGAGGGGCACAAGTGACGTGGCAAGCCCAGCAGGGCCACCGAAACTCAGGCAGACAGAGCTCCTGCTCCTGGCACAAAGCTCTCCGGTCCCAGGCGCTGCCCCATCACCTGCAGGCACCCACACGGCGGGCGGGCTGGCGCTGCCCGGATGGCACTCAGCTGGCGAGCGTCAGCACCGCTCCCTCTCACAGCCTGCGAATGTGACTGGAAAGCATGGCTGAAAACATGCTACAATTAACAGGAGGGAGGGAGATACTATTGCTCTCCTGCTAGTCTTAAAGGCACATTGCTCACATGCGCCTGTTGGGGATGCAAACACCCACGGCTTCAGTCCCAGCATCTCACCCATCTGCAGGCAGCCGAGAAGCCCAGGCAGGAGCCCTGTCCGGGTCCAGGGGAGGAGAGCACCCCAGGAGTCAGGAAGAGAAAGGGCAGGTAGTGGAGGAATCCCTACATCAGGGGCTGGGGGCAAGGCCTGCCACACCTTCACCACTGTCCCAGGAGCCAAATCAAGTCCCTGTCACTCAGCCTGAATGCTAACCCCCATCACTGGCCCCTCCACCAGCATCCCAACCAGACAGGGGTCAGACTGCCCACTGCTGCCTGTATCCCAGAGGGTACCAACCGTGTCTTCCAGTAGGCAAGGAGGGCCTGGTACACCCTGGGGCCATGGTGCCCCTCTTCTGGTCTTGGCATGAGGGTCAGGTTAGTGGCACTGCTCCCACTCAGTCTCAGCCAGGAGCTGAGACACTGAAATCCATCGTGCCACCTGAGTTCAGCAGGTCTTAGACTGGGTGTAACATCTGGCACCACAGCCACCCTCCTCCTGCCACAGGGCTGGGGCCAGCAGGCTGTGCACCAGCTCATTGCCACATGTTCTCTCTTTACTCCTCCTGATACCCTCTTCTGAGTGCCTTGGGATACTCTGACTTGTCCTTTAACACGTCACATCATGGATTCAAAATGCTCACATCAAGCTTTTCCCTCCCTTGCCCACTAAGAACTGGCACTTTCTAGAAGTCTTCAAAACAGGTAATTTACCCTATTAAAAATATTTACTTTTTTCTCTGTAGTGGTTGTTGCCATAGATAACATGCCTTTCTAGGGAGGAAAAACTGGTGTGAAGCCCTGAATCTTGTTAAACTGCTTTACATCACAGCATCCCGTTAACACCTTTGATTCCCCAAGCCCGCTGGAGGCACCAAAATTAACCTGATCAATACCTGCCTCCATCACTGTGAGAGAAGCTGTTAGCAGTGAGGATATTTTAGCCCTGAGCACACAATGCCAAAACAAATTACTATGGTGAAAAGTAAGTTAAGTGTAGTGTAACATCAGGCTTTCCTGAAAAAATAGACTGAAAGGAAAGGTACAGACTGCATACCATAAACACAAAACCAGTAAAGAGTTACCACTGATGCAAACATGCATCACAGCATAATAAATGCCTCTTTTCCTGTAGTGCTAACACAGAGAACTATTAAAACACGATCCCCTGATCAAACCAGTGCAATGTGTGTTTCACTGCTTCCAGGCCATGCAGTTTTGTGCAAAAATACCACAATGAGTTAGTTCAAAATGGTCTTTATTAAGCATTGCATGTCTTAAAGAAAGTCCTTTTAACACCAGACCTACAAAACATGCATAAGTAGTAATCAGAATGCTAGGCAGAGACACTTAAGGCTTTATACTCCTGAAGTTTTTCCCCTGAGTATCAAAGATCAAATTTGTTCTACAGAAGATAGCTGAGGATTTCTCAAGTATAATGCTTCCTGAACTCATTGATTAGTATGCAAACACAGCATAGTGACTACCAGCACATCTCTACAAGCATCTGTCCTGAAACATAGCAGTCCCCTGCAACACACTGAATAGAAATATTCTCTGTACACGCTTTTTTTCTTTAACTGCAAGACCTGATAGATCAATCAACTTTAAATTCAAAGGAAATGACTGCCTACTAAATTCATAAGATCAAATGCTGATTTGAATTATTCCAGCATGTACAACAGTATGAAAGCCAGGCTAGCAGGGTCATATCTTACTGTCAGCAACCAGGCCTGTCACTGAGAATTATGTACGTGTGCAAGGATAGAATTTTTTTTATTTATGTCAATAAGAGTCTTGGTTCTAAAAAAGATTGGAGTGTAATTATTTCAGCTTTCTGTAGTATGACACTTCATGACATGTCCCTCCTGAGCCTTGTGTCCACTTTTGAAACATGCAGGAAGAGCCACACTCAATTCAGTGAACAGCTTCTGTACAGACCATGAACCAAAAATTTTGTCCAAGAAAAAAAATTTGCCAAATAGCGAGAGCTTCTCCTTGAAGGAGATTTCACACATATGCCCAAAATCTGCAAAGAGTAATGCCCAATTACGTACTCTCTACAAGCTCCTGGCTACAAATAAATGAAGGAGTCTCTGGGATACGCCCAAGCCTTCCACACCAGGGTTCCCTGCACTTACTCTTCTCCAAGCTGCCTAAACAGAGCAGCTCCCAACGTTTTATAACACCAGTCAGTCCAGCTTTTCTCGTCAGCCCCTACCAGTAACCAGCTCCTGAGCACTCACCATAATTCCACGGATGTCTGCAGTTCAGAACCACTGTGTTGACAGGGAGGGAGTTCCAGTCAGAAGAGAGAGGGTCCAGGTGCACCAGCTGATAACAGGGTGTGGAAGTTGGGAAGCAACAGCACTGAGCTTTAACATCCCTCTTTCTCGGAAGCCACCTCCCAGTAAAACCAGCCAAAGGAGCAACTAAAGCATACACAGTTTTGAACACTTGCACATGAATTAGCCTGGTGAGCTGACATTCCTGAGGTTTACTTGCATTGGGGAAACTTCAGAACTTCAAAAAAAGGCATTAGCATCCAAGCAAGCCACACTGCCAGGCTACAGCACCTCAGTGGGAAACATCACAGGACCAGTCTGCAGCATTTACCCCAAGGAGATGCAAGGGGATTAGAATACGAGCTTACTGCAGGGAGAAGCTAGGGACATCAGAGACCTAAATATCCTTTCAAACACCCTATTTGCTTTTTTGACTTGGCCTGTTTAGAAGCCAGAAATAGTCAGACATACCTGATTATGAATCTTTAAAATGTCAGCACTGCATTGGGGTTTTTTGGTTTTGTTTGTTTTTTTTAAATCAATATTTATGTTGTGCTTGAAAATATTCCATTGTATTTAGGCATTAGAATCCTACAGCCCTCCTTGTATCTGTGATTTAGAAATGGTAGAATTTGCACTTTGAGAAGGGCTTGTAGAATTCAATGAATATGTTGGCACAGAGTCAAAAGATCATGTTTGGACAGCCTGGGGATTATAAGGTCCCCCAAGCTGCCTTTAACAAGCTGGTTTTACCTTTATCAAGGCTTTCTTCTTTGAGCTATTTTTGAGAAGTCAGCCTTGATTTCTCTGAAATTTTCATATGCATTTGAGAAATTTAACATTAAAATAAGACCACAGGAATAATTCATCAGACAATAATTTTATATATACTGAATGCCCTTTGCGGTCAGAGACTTCTGGGCCAAACCCTAGAGACACCATCAACTATGGTGTCTAAAAGCACAAATCAATCTATCCAGAACGGAGCTCTCAAAGAAGAAAAGTCATCATTCAGTAAAGGGGAGCCAAGTTCTGACTGGTGGTGCTTCTTTCTGATTCAGTGACAAAAGAAAGGTAACAACTACGAATAAAAAAACCCAAAAAGTACCAAATGGAAAACAGGCTGTAGCAGAATGACCACCTGAGAACTGAAAGACAAACTATCCTAAGACTCAGATGCAGCAAGAAGGATTAAACATCGATACAGAGTCCAAACTACAAGTAGATCCTCTGTTTCTTGGTGCAGGCAAACTGAAGCTAGAAGTATTTTAGGAAGGCAAGCACAGGTAACAGCTTTACTGGAGGGACAACTAGGTTAAATTGAGCTGCGATATAAAGGAGTGAGACTGAATTATTTAAGCTTCCTTTCTGGCCATATGTGCTGTGAACAGCTGATAAGTCGTAGGAAGAACATGCTACTTTTAGATCTCTTGACTTTCCTGCTCCAGGGCCCTTGTCTCTCTGCTGAGCAAACAGGGAATAAATGCTTATTGCAACTGGGAAGTTGGGAAACATGGTTCTACCTCTGGTGCTGGCATGATGAATAACTTCAGGCTAACCACTTAAGTTCATAAACCATTCTTTAAAACAACTCTAATAACTCCACACACATTTGGGAGGTGCTTTCAGAAATGGCAACGCAACACAGTCCCCACTGGCATTTGCCTACAACAGCAAAGACTCCAAAACCAGAGAGGTCTGTCCAAGCAATGATGATGACCAAGTTCTGTATTCACCTGGGATACACAAGTACTGTATTGTGAGCAGAGCTCTCGAAGAAACACTGCAGTTAATGGCAAATGAGGAGCTCATGTGCCATCAGCAATGATGAAAACTGCACAGGTTTGGGACCCAGAAAGCACCTGGTGGCACCAAAGTCATTGGAGGCCTTCTGGCACCCTCCCCATCTCATGTTCCTTCAGGGATTTTCTTTGTAATGAAGTTCTTCCTTTCGTCAATAATTTCATGAAACTTTATAGCCAAGTTCAATTTTCTACTTATACCAGTTTTATGCTCTCATGATCAGTGACAGGACCCAAGGAAATGGCATCAAGCTGAGTCAAGGGAGGTTTAGGCTGGATATAAGGAAAAGGTTTTTCACCCAAAGGGTGGTTGAACACTGGAACAGGCTCCCCAGGGCAGTGGTCACAGCACCAAGCCTGTCAGAGTTCAAGAAGCATTTGACAACACTCTCAGGCACACGGTGAGATCCTTGGGGTGTCCTGAGCAAGGCCAGAAGTTGGACTGAATGGTCCTTGTGGGTCCCTTCCAATTCATCATATTCTATGATTCTACTTCTATAAGATTTTACAAGAATTCTAAGAGAATTTACCCCATCCACTTGCCAGAATTTGAAAAATATGGTTTCTGCTCAAAGGTCCACACTGAGCACCATGGAACAAACCCGTCAAGCTTTACACCTCCACCTTCCTCTTCCAATTCTGGAGAACATCTCTCTGATATGCCCCCACAGGAGAATCTCCACCTTTCCTTTGCCTTGCTGTTCCCTGCCCTGCTGCCCCAAGATGCAGCAACTCTTCCCTGGGAATCCACTGTCCTAAATACTAGTTACAAGACCTTTCCATATACATAG